GAGCGAGAGAGCGACTGAGAGAGCTGACCCAGAGAGAAGGACAGGCTTCGGTTGCTTCCTCCCTCCCCTTCTTTCATTTGTGTCCTTGATCCCCGATCCCAGCAGCATTCACCGAAGGCTTCTTAACATTATATCGGCGTATAACACGCATACATCATTTGCCCCCTATTTTCAGGGGGAAAAAAGTGCGTGTTATACACCGATAAATACGGTATATAGCACAATGGGGGCTAACCTTTTTGGGCTCCTGTGCCAAAAATTGTGCTTGCACTCATGCCAGCATCCAGAAGGCAATGTGCGTGTGCAATCCCCCCCTGCCCCCTTACCTGCACTGCGCCTCCCAGCTGATTTTTGGCCTGTTTGAGGCCTTTTTTGGCCTCCCAGAACTTCTGTAGCCTTTGGAGGCCGAAAAATAGGTCTGTTTTGTTGACAACTCCCCTTGATCCTTCAAGCGATTCCCCCTTTCTTCACCACCCCTCCAGGGTGTTTCTGGTCCCAATTGGGACCCTCCAGCAAGTGAGTTTGAAGCAAAACCACACAGGATCGTGGATTCTGCTCTGACGACGAACAAACCAGAAGACAGATCTCATGTGCACTTAATGACCTGTGCATTCAGTTAGCGAATGCTTGGGCAAAAGCATTTTCATGTTCATTTAACAAATCCTTGGGTTACGAATGTAATTGGCAGTCTCCATTACATTCATAACTCAAGGACTACCTGTAATTTAAATAGGTAATAGGTGAAAAGATACGTGGGTGACTTCTCTGTCCCAGTTACCTGGTATGGTGGTTTGACATTTGAAATGAGACACAGGGACTGTCTCTGAGAAAATGCCAACCCTGAGAGAACTCAGGTAGCAGTATTTATTGAGAAAACACACAAGCAAAATATACAGTATGCATATTCAGAAAACAATGACCTCAACAGGAGATTACTTCACCAGCATGAGAACACACAATCTTGGAAAGTCCCAGATGTTACCTTGCTAGGGTGAGATCATACAGCCACGGACAGTCTCATGGGAAAGTTTGGAAAGTCCCATGAGAAAGCACAACTGTGTATCTTGTACCTTGAACTTTCACCCATTTTCCTATTCCTTCTAAACTGGCAGAATCAAAACAGAATGAGGCACTCTGAGCAAAGATACTCCTACCCCCACCAAGAATGCCCACATCTTCCTAGACTTACTGCTAGTTATACAAAGGCCTTACAGAAAATGATAAAATGATCAATAAAATATATTACCACAACCTGGCACTTGAGTGGTTGGTGAGCGGAAAGGTAGATAAGTGGGGGTGATATCTGAATTCTAGAAATTTCTATTGCTAGGACTTTTACCACTGTAATGAGAACCTAGCAGAAGACCAGTGCATGCACTTTTTGTATAGGCCTTGCTTCTTTTCCCTTGATCCTTTTCTCTGTGTGTGTGTGCCATGTGCACGTGCTCAGTTTTCTTTAGAGATCTCTTATGACAAGCTTGCAGGTGACTTTGAAGTCATCCAGCACAACTTGTTGGCAACAAACAGACATGGCAAGATGAAGGTGGCAGCTTAATCACACCTGAGCAGCTGCTGTGAGGTTGGAGTAGCCACATGGGACCAGAAGCTGGTCTTCTTTGGGGTGGGGGGAAACTGGGAGATGTGGGCAAAGTTTCTGGGGTACCCTTGACTCATCCTGTCCCTTCTCCTTTCACAGGGCAGCAAGGAGAAAACCCCCAACCCTACCTTCACTGGAGCTCAGCTTGTTGTTTTTTAAACCCCTACCCACCTCACTACATGCACACCCTCTCACTGTCTCAGTACAAGTTGTTTTAATAAAATGGTGCTTTGTGGCCTAATGTTGCCGTGCAGTCAAGCAAAAAAAAATAAAGCTGGATTGAAAAATGTAATTTTTTTGGGGGGGATCACCTCCCCCCCGCTGCAGCAGCTGGGTTAGAGGAAGAACCTTTTAGCCTGGTATGAGCTGGCCTTTCTTAGGCCATTTTTAGAATGAAATGGTGTTCAAAAGGGCTTGGATTATTTTCTGCCAGGAACTCTCTCTCCTCTGCCAGGTTTTGCCGTAACAGTGGCTGGAATGAGAGCTTGAAAGGGGGGGGAAAGGACAGAAAGAGAAAAAAAATCGTTATTGACTTTGATCTTTTTACACCTCCCGTTTTTCTAATCTGGGCTGTTTTTATTTTATTTTTTTTTTTTTTACAGCGAGATTTTTTTGATCTTCAGCTACAGTAAGTTATTCCAATTTTTCTCCACTTTTTTCCTGCCTTTCCACTGATTTCCTTTTTATAGTTGTTGCTAGTTACTTTATTGATATTATTGCTGCAATAATGGTGGTGACTGTGACTATGATGATGTGTTGCTCATGGTGGTGATTTAAAAAAAAAAGACTGCTGATTTTTAACCAGATGAAAATGGAGTTTTTCTGAATGATCCTAACTGACTCTGGGCTTTTATAACCCCTTGGGGAAAAATACACATACCAGGTTTTTAAAACACATTTTTTTTAAAAAAAGAAAGTGGATTGATCACGTTTAACTCTTTTTTTCCCCTCCCTCACTGATCGCCTGGCTGCCAAGAACAGAACCTGATACCTCTCCAGAACTTACTTGAACAACTCAGGAAGTTATGCTTTTTTATTTTTCATTTTTTAATATTTTATTTCTATTCGATTTTTCAATTGTTGCTGCACTGTGTCTGTGGGGCTGCTCACTCTCTAGCAGTGACAGCCTGTCCCCGGTCAAAGGCCCCACTCGCCCCTTCATGCCCTCTCAGTTTTCAACCTAGTCTTTTTCCATTGCACCGTTCCCCCCCTTACAAGCGCCGTCATGGATGCCCAGACTGGAGTAACAGAGGTAGCTACCAGCGGAGCCTTGCATGGAGCAGGGACATACCCATCTTGGCTGATGGTAAGGGGCTGCATTGGCTTCATTCCAGGCCATCCCCTCTTAAAGGTCTTGCTTAAAGTATAACCCTACCTGTATAGCATATCTGAGGGCACTATCCAAACCCTTGTATCAAAAATTAGTAAAATGTCCTTTCCGGGAGCGTTATGGAACTGCATACAGGTAGTCTTGGACTTACAAGTATTTTGTTTAGTGGCCATTCAAAGTTACGACGGCACTGAAAAAAGTGGCTTACGATCATTTTTCACACTTAACGACCATTGCAGCATGTCCATGGTCACATGCTCAAAATTCAGGCTTTTGGCAACCAGCATGTATTTATGACGGTTGCAGTATCCTGGGGTCAGGTGTGACCTGCCCGACCAGCTTCTAATAAGCAAAGTTAATGGGATACCAGATTCACTTCATGACCGCACAATTCACTTAACAGCTGCAGTGGTTCACTTAACTGGCACAAAGGTCATAAAAGGGCAGAACTCAAACAACTGCCTTGCTTAGCAACAAAAATGAATGGGCTCAATTGTGGTCTTATGTCAAGGGCTACCTGTAATGCGTAGATCCAGCTGCTAACAGATGATTGATCTTGGGAAAAGACAAAATGTACTGAAGTTTAGTGGACTCTAGTACTGGGTTAAATGGTTTCCCAGTTTTTTTTTTATTCCTTGTTCATAGTTGTATAGAATACATGTAATAAAAGTTTCTTGGAATTTCAGAGCACGTAGCTATAAAATAATGCAATTGCAGTCCCCAAGTTTTTAAATGCTTTGCAAATATCACAAAATGCAGTAATTGTCTGCTGTAATATACATAAAGCTAAGTAAATGGAAAGAAATATAGAGGCAATTCAGGCATTCACTTTGGGAAGTTGTGTAATAATAAATGTAATGTTAACCAATATACTGTGGGAAATGTGATAGACTTGCTACTCTAAAAGTTTCAGAATGCAGGAAGTCTATAATATAGTACAGGGATCTCCAAACCTTAGCAACGTTAAAACTTGTGGACTTCAACTTCCAGAATTCCTCAGCCAACCATGCTGTTCAGTGAATTCTGGGAGCTGAAGTCCACAAATCTTAACGTTGCCAACCCTGATGTAGAAGACCAAAATTTTGTAGGAACTCCATGGGAGGCTCTGAATGGTCAAAAGGTGAGTCAGTTACGTTTGTCCCTTCTTGGGGAAAGACATCTTAAAATGTTATGATCTAACAACAAAACATGAGAAGTAAATTATTTCTAAATAGGCCTATATCTTTCTCCATCATCTCCATTGATCAGTGGTAGAGGCTTTTTAGCATAAGGGGTACTTGTTAACTAATTGTGTGATACATCTACAAAACGTTTAGCTTCTAGTACTGTTTTCATGGATTCAATTTTACAATAGTTGAGGGATTATTATGTTCTTGGGCAAATGGAGTTAAAGTGACCAACAACTGAACAATTTTGCTGAATGGCCAAACTCATTTGTTCTGTGTCTTGTGAAGAGAGGCTGCAGGAAATGGAGTTGTTAAGTTTTGAGAAGATTTAACACATGGAAAGTTAAACAGAAGGTCGATATCAGCCCAGAATGTAGGATTTAAATTAAAGGATTTAAACTATAGGAAGGCAGATTCTGACAACATATTAACAAATAGGCATGTTTGGCATTGTCATATATGGGGACAGAAATTACCTGTTATTTGTTCCCCATTAAAAATGTTTGGCTCCTTGAGCAGAATTTCTTGTCTCTTGTGTATAAAGAGTCCACATCAGCCACTGGACATCTATGAGGTAGTCACGGTCCCTAAGTCTGATCTACTTTACAATTTTCAGCGAAACTTGGAGATGGAACTACCACCTAGGTCTCCTTGAAGTCCTAGAGCAAAAATGTAGACCCCACAAATAAATATTGTGAAAAGACTTTCCAGTAAAGAAACAGTTCCCACCACTTGAGGCTGGCTAGGATTTTAATTCATCTTACAGATTTTTGCCAGGCTGACTTAGCTAAATTTGCAGTGAGGCCTGCTTTGAAAGAAGAGGTGGGTTTCCCTTTCCTACCTAGCTTAGAATTCAGGCAGAAATGAAAATAACATTCCACCTTGCCTCTGCAGAAACTGAAGAGAAATAAGTTTTTTTTAAAAAAACAAGAAGGGAGGAGCAGTGAAGCAAACAACCCGTTTCAAAGAAAGCTATTGCTTTGCTTTTTATTAGAGGAATGAAAATGTGGTTTCTTTGAAGCACGAGATATGGAATGGAGCAGAGAAACCTTAAGTGGATTTATTTAATCCTGTCTACATACAGGTAAGGGACGCGGTGGATCAATGGCTAAGATGCTGAGCTTGTTGATCAGAAAGGTTGGCAGTTTGGCAGGTTCGAATCTCTAGCGCCGTGTAACGGAGTGAGCTCCCGTTACTTGTCCCAGCTTCTGCCAACCTAGCAGTTCGAAAGCATGTAAAAATGCAAGTAGAAAAATAGGGACCACTTTGGTGGGAAGGTAACAGCATTCCATGTACCTTCGGCGTTTAGTCATGCCGGCTACATGACCACGGAGACGTCTTCAGACAGCGCTGGCTCTTCGGCTTTGTAACAGATGAGCACTGCCCCCTAGAGCTGGAAACAAGTAGCATGTATGTGTGAAGGGAACCTTTACCTTTACCTTACATACAAGTAAAATCAAAGCTGTGGTTCAGTGTTTAGGGATAAGTCAGTATCGGACAGCAAAGAGAAAAGAACCTTAGTCAAATGGACTAGCCACAGGGTTCAATTGAATACTGGCAGTGAAAATCATTCCTATTTTTTTTTCTTGTTTCACTCACCCTTCTCGGTGTTCTTGCTCTTAGTTCATGCATGTACACATGCATTAAACGTGCATCTGTCCACTCCATCTGGATAGAGAGCTGTGTGCTCATTAGCTGGGTCTGAAGAGTTGGGATTGGCAGAGAACGTGCAGTCTGCTGGGAACTTGGTTGCAAGAAAAAGTTTGGATTTTTCAACAACCAAAGCCAATCTTTCATCCTCCACTTTGTCTCCTGCCCTTCAAGTTTGGACTGTTGGCAAACAGATGCTGCCTTTGCATTTTATTGTCAAATCCTGTCCTGTAAGCACCCTGAGGGGAAAATAAGTACAGTATATGGAATAAAGAAAATGCTACTCTGGGCCCTTGCCAAAATTAGACTGTAACCAGATAGGACTCTCTTAAGTTTGCACAAGAGTGAGGTTCCACCAGTGATAAGGTATTTGTTTGCTCAAATCACATAAAATACATTATTTCCCGTTAATGCATAAAAGCAACATACAGGTATTTGAATCCAAAACAAGAAGGTACTATGGATCTCTGCACAGTCTGTCAGCAGCACCTTAAAGAGGCCACTTACTTTTTCTAATCTTCACAGCTCCTGCATGTAATCAGGAGAAGTCAAAGCTTTCAGAGTGCTACTAGAAAGCACTCTGAACATGGCCATGTACAAAGCACCAGATACAAGTGCAGCACTCTTCTGACACATAGCCTAAATTTATGGACAGAGACTTGTGATAATTAGTTCATGTAAATCTTCCCCAAATTGGATTTGGTTTGCATTCTTAATTAGAATGTCCTTGAAGGTGGAGGTTAGAACGTGCAGAATCCTGAAAATGTTAGGTGCCCTTTATTTATTTATAGTCTCAATTTTAAGAACAAATCGGGGAAGATTGCCCCTTGATAATAAGTACTTTTTATTAATTGCCTCTGAACTGAAGTCTGCTGGGCTTCCTGCATTTGTCTTACTTACCTATGCTGCTGCTTCTATTGACCAAAGCATGTATTGAAATGGTAAGATTGCATTTTCCTGACAATGCTGCTTGGAACAGAACTAAGGTAGGAGTCAAGTTGACATTGTTCAGAAGATGTTTGATGCTGAAAAGAAATGGAAATGGAAGCAGTTTGAGTTGACTTGTGCTGAAAGCCTTTGCATCTTTTAGACAAAATTGTTTTCATATATCCAATCCTTCTACAGGCTTTTTTTAATGAGATAGTGGACTATGGTAGGCTAATGGTAAAAATACCTCCCTTTTTCTCTTAATTTTATTTTTCAGTAAAGTTTTTTTTCTAGTGTTGTTGGCCTTTATTTTGTGTGTGTGTGTGTGTGTGCCAAAACTGCTGTATCTTATACCTAGGAGGATGGATGCACCTGAGCTTTCCCAGCATGCCTGACGCTGGTAGCTTTTCATTCTGAGAAAGTGCTACTTGTCAGATGATGCCCCCGAAATGTGTGCATTTGTGTCTTTTTTTGCAGTTATATATGTGTAAAAAGCTATGACATCTGACACTTTTCTTTTCACTGACCCATCTTTTTCTCCCTTTCCCTGGCCTTGGCAGCAGGTTAGCATTTCTGCTGTGTGGGTGAGCTATGGCCAGCAACGTCACCAACAAGACAGATCCCCGTTCCCTCAATTCCCGCGTCTTCATCGGAAACCTCAATACCCTCGTGGTCAAGAAATCAGACGTGGAGGCCATCTTCTCCAAGTACGGCAAGATTGTGGGTTGCTCCGTGCACAAGGGCTTTGCGTTTGTGCAGTATGTGAACGAGCGCAATGCCCGCTCTGCAGTGGCGGGAGAGGATGGCAGGATGATAGCAGGCCAGGTCCTTGGTAAGTAGGCAACTTCCAGGGTTGGCCCTTCTGTTCATCATCCCATTGAAATTGACACTGTGGTTCTTCTAGCAAAAAAGAATTTTAATTTTGTCTTGTTTTCCTTTTGCCTTGTTCAACCCGGTGTCTGCTAACAGAGCCCCAGCAGTTCCCTGTGCAAACAAGATACATGTTGCAGCCTTTTGTGTGTGTGTGAAGGGATTTCTGGTATTGTAGGAATAGAAAATGGAAAGTGAAAGAAAGGTGGGAGCAGTTAATTAAATATATTGGGGAGGGAAGTAGTTTCAGACTTCCTACGGAGTAGATTTCTGATCTGATGGTGCTGACAAGCAGTCACAGAAAGCAGGTTTTATGATGTAGAACTCTGTTTAAACAGAAATATTATTCTTGGCCTGTCTTGGCCTTGAATCTAGGAGCTTTCTGGAACCTGAGAACAGGAGGGTAAATTTAAAGAACGTTCAGTATCCTACTTGATTTACATCTTACCTGGAAACAGACTAGAGAAAAGCACACACATATGCCTTTTTTAAAGGGTATATAAGCTTGTTGGATTCACTGAGTGGTAGACTTTGCTGAACCCAAATTACTAAAATCGCATCACCACCAGAACACAGATTCATTCCTCTCCTGGCTATTTACAGCTGTGCAAATAAGTGTCACAAGAATGAGTTAACTCAAGAGTGTTTTCAGATCATCTGGCCTGTCATGCTTGACATATTAATAAAAAGTTGGAAGCCAAGAAGAAATTCAAGGTTTCCCCCTTCAAGAAAAGCTCCCTTCCCCCTTCTCAACAGTCGTTGGGACCTGCCTGTTAATGTCAGATGCAAAAAACGTGCTCTAGTTCAGACATGCTCAAGCCTTGCCGGAGAGGATTTTTCCTTTCTTTTCCGAAGGCAACATTTGTTTTCCCCCTGCCAGCAGAAGTCAAAAATTGCTGATGTTTTTTCTACTCAACATCCCAACCCCCCTCTAGGAAGATTTTTTTTTAGCTTATTATCTCGCCTCCCGCTTAGCCAGTTGTTTATGAAAGGTGATAGTAGGTTTTCTTCAGCAACAGAAGCAAAGAAGGGTGTTTTCTAGGTAACTTGAGCCTCTCAAATGTTGTGTTTTATTAGCAATGCTACACAGTTTGGATCCTCCTGCTGCTAGGTAGGCAGCTCTTTTAGCCCCAGACTGCCTTGGCTTTTTATAATGGCATGCCACAGTTTGTAAAAAAGAACAGCTATTCCTCAATTTAAGGGAGCCCAAAACCTGTCGTTAAGTGAGATGTTTGTAAAGCAAATTTTGGTTCACCATTGTGATATGGATTCTTCTTCTCCCTTGCCGCTCCTGTTTTAGGCAATGTGCCAAGGATATTAACTGGGTGTTGTAAGGAGTGTTGGAACAACATGCAAGATGTTTGCAGGCATGCTGCTGTGTTTACCCAGGAAGATGTTAGGTGCTCTCCTTCTTCCTTGGATGTCAAAAAAAAAAAAAAAAGGTTGGGCCATCCTATGCCAGACTATTTAAATCAGGGGTGTCAAACTCGCGTCACAGCAGCATCACGTGATATATCGGGACTTTTTCCACTTTGCTAAACTGGGCATGGCCAGACTCTGACACATCTGGCCTGTGGGACGGGAGTTTGACAGCCCCGGCTGTCCAGTGGTTAGAACGCAGGCTAACTCACTGCCTGGAGTTTGATTCTGACCAGCTCAAGGTGGACTCAGCTTTCTAACCTTCCAAGGTCAGTAAAATGAGGACCCAGATGGTTGGGGGAAATGTGCTGACTCTAAACTGCTTAAGAGAGGGCTGTAAAGCACTACAAAGCGGCATATGTCTTACGTGCTGTTGGAAGAAACATCCTTCTGGGTTCAGTTCCAAGTGGGGAAAAAGACACTGGATTCATGGAAGTTGCTTGGAATGAAGGTTTAATGGTGGACAGGACCACATGCCTTGGAGCTCCTGGGCAAAAAGGGCAGAGATGCTGAGAATCCCTTGGTTTCATAGCCTCTGTTGGGCCCCACCTTAGTGTTTCCTGTTCCTGTGTAAGAAATGTATCCCATTGGCTGTCAGACTCCCAGGGGCAGGGGTCTTAGCTAACTTTGTAGACTTTGTCTGGACCACATTGCTTCACCTGAGTGCTGGCTAATGCAATCTTCCCAGGTGCCATGTGGTGAGATTTTTCCAATCTAATCTGCTACCATTCAACTGCCAGCCTATAGCACCATCTGGTGGTCAAGTAGAAATTTCACAGAATTCAAAAAAGATTTTTTTTTCTTTTTTCAACTGATCTACCCCACCTCGTGAAGTTGCAGGAAGTTTCGTAAATTTAACCAGTAAATTCTATTTTACGTAACTCCTGTGGAAACGCCTAGTAACTTAATTCAAAGGGTCCAGCACTACCTGCAGCCCAACCTGTGCTTAGCAACAGCGTCTTCCAGACCTAGCAAGTACCACTAACAGGCAAATTTGCGTTCTGCGCCAATGTCTTTCAGACTTCGCAAAGCAGCCTATAGCGCCAACTTGTGTAGCAAGCAACACTAACAGGCAAATTTGCGCTTTGCCCACGTCTTTCAGACTTTGCAAAGCACCCTATAGCACCAACTTCTGTAGCAAGCAACACTAACAGGCAAATTTGTGCTTTGCCCCAACGTCTTCCAGACTTCGCAAAGCACACTAAAAGCAGCCAAATTGTGTGCTGTGCTAGCACCGCAGCACCACCTACGTGCTCAAGTATTAAACTTAGCAGAAACTCCTACGTTCTGCTACCTGCGTGCAGCACACCCTACTGATTTCCAAACTTCACCTTTTGCCAATTTGAAGTATGGCAACTTCTTCCGCCATGACAGATGTCTCTGATGTACCAGAGGACTCGAACCCTCCACCCACCCTTGATGTAAACGTGGAGCCTGGTTCCCAAAACCCTCATCCAGACCTCCAAACCTCCGCAGACATGGTGATACCTCAGAAAGCCTATGACCTCAGACAACATAGGAAGCTTACAGAACCCATGGAGTCATGCTATAGGAGGGTTTGGGACAGTCAGTATCGTCGCTATACAGACTTATGTTCAGAGCTCCTGGATATCTGCGAAGCCCCAACACTCAAGCTGTCTCCCAAGGAAATCCGCACATTGCTGAACAACCTAGATGACCTTCTCCTACGATAGAAAGACAGAGAAAGTAAACTCAAGTACATCCAGTCGAGGCTGGGTGACCCAAAGCTCCAAGTGCACATTCAAGGCTTCGAGGAGATTAACAAGGAATGTGAAGAATGCGTTAAGAAAAAGAAAAATGCCCTCCAGGCAGCACTCAACGATGCACTTCGGCTGGAAGTAGTGTCAAGGGAGCGGACCACATCCGACATAGCTCCTCGATCGTGTGTGTCTTCTTCCCACTATTCTAAGAAAGCCTCCTCCCTCCATCCCAAAGCGGCTAGTTTGCAAGCAGGTTCCAGTGTTTTGCGCCAATTCTCTGCTGCTGGGTCTCACCATCCTTCCAGAGCATCCTCCTGTCGCAGTGGAGCACCTAAGGCCTCCAAAGCAGCAAGTTATGCTGACCGAGCTGCAGAAGCTGAGGTAGAAGCTGCAGTAGCAGACACAGCTCTATGCGCCACAGAGGAGGTGACACAGCAGGAGGCAATAGCAGCTCAAGCAGCTGAAATGGCCAAAGCTCAGGCCACAGCGCAGGCCAAATTGGAGTTGGCCGAACGGCGAAGAGACTCGGTATCAAAGACGGCATGGGCCACAGCATGGCAGAAGATGGCAGACAACGCCCCCATCAACTTCGACCTCAAAGGGTTGGGAGAAGAGAGCCCAGATACACGGGTCAAGGCCTACGTGGATGAGCAGCACTCGCTACAAAACGAGCACATGGAACCGCCTCAGTTACCTAGAAGTCTCTCACAACCAGGGAAGCACAGGAGTGAATCTCAACCACAGACTCTAAACCACAGTCACTCAACTGATGTCGTACGACCTAAAGTCTGAGATTCTCTTCCCAGATTTAGCAAACCTACCAACGTCTCATGGCCTGCTGGGCAAGCAACTTGGCCCATCAGTGATCACGATGACTTCTCAACAAGTTGACGTGCAACCAACCACAATTGCCACACTCAATCCACAGGCAAAAGAGTTCTTGCCACAACCGCAAGACAACTCTAATGCACAGTGTGGAACCTACACCCGATCTCAAGAGGTACTACCTGCATATGTGGGGATGGATAACGACCTCATAAAGTACTCTGAGGAGAACCATGAGCTATAAGCCATAATCATCTTAATTATGCCACATCGCGGCTTGAACTATCTTGCTTTGCATGTAATGAGTGTGTCTCATATATTAGGTTCACCTTTTAAGTTGCATTACTGAAATAAATGAACTTTTGCATGATATTCTAATTTTTCGAGTTTCACCTGTACATGAAAAGTTTAGTGATATAAGGAAGATACATTAACTTGGTTAAACAAATAGCATGATTACTATTGTTAGTAACAGTAACTTAATTGATACTAGCTCTCTTGGTAGAACACACAGAGGAAGCAAGATACACACACACACGCACACATATGTTTCCCATGCTTTTCTGGGCTATAAAATTAAAATTTAAAGGTACTCACCTTCTTTCCAAGCAGCCTTTGAGCTCAACACTCAAAACCCCTTTAAAACCTTTGTTCCAAATGGCCGAGGTCCAGGAAAACTCACCCACAGACTCAATGGGTCTCTGCCGGCGAGGGTCTGCTTACCTGGACCAGGTCCATTGATCAGGTTAACTTGGAGTCCCATCTGCTTGGGTGCCCAAATTGTTGGAAGAAACATCCTTCTGGGTTCAGTTCCAAGTGGGGAAAAAGACACTGGATTTATGAAAGTTGCTTGGAAAGAAGGTTTAATGGTGGACAGGACCACATGCCTTGGAGCTCCTGGGCGAAAAGGGAAGGGATGCTGAGAATCCCTTGGTTTCATAGCCTCTGTTGGGCCCCACCTTAGTGTTTCCTGTTCCTGTGTAAGAAATGTATCCCA